CAGATTTTTAATAAATGCGAAATAGTTATTTATTCGGATGCACGCAATTTAACTAATTTATCTAGATGTTGTTTTTTCTTTTCTCACATTCTGCAATTGAATCAACAGAACATTTCTATCATGATACTACAGTATAAAAATTTTATTTGTACCTTAAAATCTGCAGTATTTACAGTAAATATTCATAGGATTGGCGCCAAAACTATGCCGCGAACGTGAACTACGATTCACATAAAAAGATATTGTTCAGAAAACCTTGTAGTTGGTTGTCACGTCTTACCAAAGTTTCTTGATCCATTTATTAGAACAAATAAACTCTCGGCGTACAGCGAACATGCAACCACCTTTAACGGCGTTAAAAATGAAATAAATTAAACCAAATTTCATTGTTTCATTCATTTCTCTTTCGCAAAAACAGATTTCAAAATCTCTTTGGCAAACTCGATGGTCTCAATTATCTTGGGAATTTCAACAGCTTTAATATCGCGCCTCCAGCAAAGATTTTTTAGTGTGACTCTTTTCTCAAAAGTAATTTGATCTTTTCTTTTAATTTCTTGTGTGAGTGTAGATGTCATGATCTTAAATTTGTCGTTCCTTTGTTAAGAAAAGATATTTAATGGGGAAACGAAAAAAAGAAATGAGAAATATACACGCAAAACGACAATGCAAATATCCTCACCTATAGCAGCCTTTATTGATTGTTTGTTTAATACAATCACAATCAAGCTTTCCTTCGAAATCTTTTAGTCTAAACCACATCCCCTCCTCATCAGGAGTTGGTCTTTTGGCCTGTACGTCTTCGATGATTTGTCTCAATTTTTGATCAACAGGAATATTACACCCGGTTTTCACCGCGAATAGTAAATCAGGTACTTCAGTTCCTGATATAATGCTAACAATTGCTACATTTAAAAGAATAAAGCATAAACCAGTGGTTAACTACAATTAAATTTCAAGAGGAAACATGACTGACCATGATTCCTGTTATTTGTTGAGAGTCCACTTATTTTCCATGATCCTAAATGATCGCAGATTAATATACAGTACATCGAACCTATATCGATAACAAGAATTTTTTTTTTTTAGATGATTACCATCTTCTTTACTATAGCGTAGCCTCATCTCTCTTATCTGGTCATTTTCTTTATAAAAAATGCTAACACTCCTTTTATCTTTGTTATCCAACTTCAATTCAAACCCCTCGCGAATTTCTTCAATGTTTTTAATACCTTGCCAAATTTGTGGCATAT